TCATGATCTCACAGCTCGTGAGTTCGAGCCCCGCGTCAGGCTCTGTGGTGACAGCTCAGAGCCTGGAGCCTGCCTCGGATTCCATGTCTCCCTCTCTCTCTGCCCCTCCCCCACTCGTGCTCTGTCTCTGTCTCAAAAATAAATACACGTTAAAAAAATTTAATAATAAAAAAAGAATTAAAGATCGACTGCAAAAGATAGCCTTGTAAACAAGATGACTTAACGTAGTTAAAGCAAACTGCTCTTCAATCTTTTGCACGTCTACTAATTACAAATACTAATACTTCCAATTTTAATATTCATGCGAACACTAATTCTTACAAATGCAAATACTAATTCCTCCTTAAAGCGAGACTTTGGGACCTCTACTTGAAACCCTGACAGTGAGTTATCGCCTTCTGTCTACTTTCTACGTTGTCTCTTCTCAGTAGGGGTTTGACTCTAGGAGCTTGGTTGAGCTTCTTCAGATCTCTTCTTTTACCTTCAAAACTGCCTGGACTCCTCCTCACTCTTCTTTTCTTTTCTTGCTTTCTTTTTTTTTTTAAAGTTTATTTGCTTTGAGAGGGAGAAAGAGAGAGAGAAAGGGGGAAGGGCAGAGGGGGAGGGAGAGAAAGAATCCCAAGCAGGCTCCTCACTGTCAAGGTAGGGCACCACATAGAGCTGGATCTGAGGAACCCTGAGATCGTGACCTGAGCCGAGGCCAAGAGTCAGATGCTTGACCGACTGAGTCTCCCACGTGCCCTCCACTCTTCTTTTCCACGGGGACTTTGGAAAGAAATACCTGGCTTTCCAAGGGTGAGAATTGCCTTTCTCTGTGGGTTCCTTGGTTCTATCACTCGGGCTCCTCCAAGGACTTCACCCCTCAACTAACTCTGCTCTGTATTGCTCTAAAGACTCCTCGTAAAATGCATTTTGATAAACCAACACCCTAAGTTTAGGGGTTGTAAACATTTTCTCCACCAAGGCTTCATATGCTTCATTTGCCGTCTTAATCTCTGGGACACATTTGTGCAAATCCCAGCTGTGCTAATCCTGCTGAAGGCTGCTTCTCAGGGAAATGCTTCGTCTCTGCTCACATCTGCAATTCTCAACATCCCCGTGGGTGACTGATGAACGAATTCTCACTGGAAAAGGCAGATGTCCTAGGAGATCAGGGACATCGTGATCCATTCTAATTAAACCTTTCACAACACCGACTCGAAATGCATTATTGTCCGCTACGACATTATATCTTAAGTTTCCTGGATTCTGGATTTTTCTATGTTAATAAGCATTTAGTGCCATAGTGTGTGGTCTCTAATGTGAGTGTCCTTTTAAAATATCCTGCGCTTTTATATGTATCTTGGCATTTCAGGGCTGAGATATTGGCAAACCTCAGGCTGACATTAATGTCTTAGCATAATGATTGGGGACTCACATTTGAAAATACCACAACTTTTGCTGCTCACGGCCTTTAGTATGGCTGTCACGTCTTTCCTGAAGAGCATCCAAACATTCCTCACATTGATCTTCCATTTTAATTCCTGTCCAGCTCCTGAAGGGAAGTCACATGGGTCTCTCTCACTGTGCCCTGCTTCCAGCTACTGGAACTAACTGCCTGTTTCTGTGGGTGCTTAAATGTTCTTCGCGTTGGCCATGACTCCTATTGTCCTTTAGAGAGCATGCTTCTCCCAACCAGCCGACAGACTTTCTTCATGGAGAACAGAATATTCCTCCAAAGATTCTGTCTCTCCCTTGACCCCTAGCCGTCCATTCCCGATTCACTTTTGAAGATCTTAGAAAATTCACATCTTCTTTTAGCTCTTACTGAAGTGGAACTAGGTTTTGTTCCTGTTCAGAATGGCAATCTTTTCTGGTCGCCATATAAAAATTCCTTATACGTATCTTCGGCAGCAACTAAGCTACACTGATAAATTAGGAAATTGATGGAGCATAAGATTCACAATATCCTGTGAAGTGGCACGCCAAAAGATTCATAAAACTGTAACAAAATATTTTTTTTGTTTTTTTAACGTTTATTCATTTTTGAGAGACAGAGACAGAGCATGAGCGGGGAAGGGGCAGAGAGAGAGGGACACATAGAATCCAAAGCAGGCTCCAGGCTCCGAGCTGTCAGCACAGACCCCAACGTGGGGCTCAAACTCACAAACCATGAGATCATGACCTCAGCTGAAGTCGGATGCTCGACCGACGGAGCCACCCAGGCGCCCCACAAAATATTTTTAAATAAACTGTTTGGCTTGTATAATTGAAATCTTTAAAAAATTATATGTGTCGCTGTTCTATATGAAAGAAAAAATTGAGGTACTCTTCAGGGCTTCTCAAAGGTACTTTGGTATTTGCCACATGGTCTATATTCTATTCTTTTTTTTCTTCCTTTTTTTAAGTTTTTATTTATTTACTGTGAGAGAGAGAGAGAGAGTCCCATCCAGGCTCCGCACTATCAGCTCGGAGCCCAATGCAGGGCTCGAACTCACAAACTGTGAGGTCATAACCTGAGCCAAAATCTAAAGTTGGATGCTGACCCCACGGAGCCACCCGGGCGCCCCAGCCTGTATTGTAATTCAGAAGTCTGAAATTTACCCTCCAGAATCACCTGATGCTGTAATAAAAATTCATATGGAAAGTGTTATTTGTTTCGACACATTTGGAGGAAAAGACTATTGTTTTGTTAAATAGATCCGAATATCTTATGAAATAGAATGCAAAATCACATATTTTTCTCAAATATAAAACCTGGATTGAAATAAATGTTAAGTGTCAGAGGTCACCCTAGGCCACTTTCCCTCTCTTCTATGCCAGGGGGGAAAAAAAAACCCAAGTGTGAAATTTCCACACAAATCTCACAGCGTTAGCTGATAACGATTCTACGACGGAAATGTTCAAGAAGCACAGAGTGCCTTCTCCACAAGTGTTCTTTGCACTAAGTAACTTTAAGCCATTTTGGACAGGACATGGTGAAAGGTCCTGTTTTTTTCAGAGCTGTGGGTTGCATGAAGAAAACTCCCATGTACCATCCAAAAATTGGACAACCCCTGTCCCCCCCCACCCCCGTCTCCTTTTGCGTGTTATTTGGGACATACTTAACAGACTCTGATGCACATTCGTGCTACTGAGTAAATAAAACGTGAGAGCAGGAGGGTTTCCCACAGAAAACTTGCTAGGCTGGCAAATGCTATTGAAGTAAATAACTGTATAAATACCATAAAAATGTGGAGCTTTGGAAGGTCACTGAGCCTTGGCCACTTAATTTCAGCCACAACAGCAAGCAGCTGCTTGGTGGACAGTTTTGTTATGAGGTGTTGGTGATTTAACAAGTTGGCCAAAAGTAGCTGGAATGTGGAATGAAAGATTTCATCTCTGTTGGGTTTTACTGTTGTGCACTGAACTTTTTTGGGTTTTTTTTTT